TCCTCCTCCTCCTCCTCTTCCTCTTCCTCCTGGGGATGCAGCCGAGGGCTGAACTCGCTTTTTGGGCCGCTGCCGCCTTCTTCCCTGGAGACCCGAGTCTGATGCACTCCTTGCTTGCAGCTGCACCGCCTTTCAAATGTTGGCTTTGCCTCCGCTGAATTTCAGGCGCTGCTTTGCTTCGGGTTTCTAGTCTGCCCCCGGGGCGCCCCGTTTGCCTCGTCGGCCCCCGCCATCGCGACACGTGTCAGCGGGCCGAGGAGGATTTGGGGCAGAGAAAGGCTCCTCCGGAGCTCTCCCCTGCAATGGGACTTCGCCCCCTTCGCCCCTCGCAGGAAGCTCAAGTGCCGACCTGGGGACCAAAGGTCGCGGGGCTTCCTTGGCAAGACTTGTTGAGAGGAAGTCCTTGCCTTCCTCTGAGGCCGAGAGAGCGTGACTCGCCCAAGGTCACCCAGTGGGTTTCCACGGCCGAGCGGGCCGGGATTCGAACCCTGGCCCCTGGAGCCCTAATCCAACCCTCAGACCACTGAGCCACGCTGCCTCCTTAACGAGGGCCGTTCTTAAGGGACCGCTGGGGAGACCCTCGGAGGACTCTTCCTTTGCACTGGAGGACGTCCAGCTGGGCTGCCCAAAGGCCGAGGGGCCGGAGGGGTGTGAGAGGTCGGGGGGGGGGCAGGGAGGGAGGGAGGGAGCCATCTCTGGGCGCCCCTTCCTCCATGGGGGCCTCCGGGAGGAGGAGGAGGAGGAGGAGGAGGAGGCAGGTAGTTAATGGTCCATTAACCAGATCGTTACAAGCACAGAAGGGAACGGCCCTTTGGTTTTTAGGGGAAAGCCCCGTTCTTTGGTGGGAAGGAACTGCGGAATAAGCACTTCTTCGGATTTATGTATCTCCAGTGATTTATGTCCCGTGCATTTTAATTTACCAAGAGCGCCTCAACTTAAGGAAGACTTTAAAAGCTATTGGCTTAATAATACTGTCTATTAATGGGCCAAAAGGTTACCTGCCTGCTAGGAAGTCCTTTGGCATCCATTAAGGGAGGCAGCGGTGGGGGGGCCGGTGTTGCGTGTCGGGGACGCCTTTGTGGGAAGAGGAAGAGGAAGAGGAAGAGACGCCCCCCCCCCTCCCGGCCTTCCTCGCGCCTCGGGCGCTCCTCGGGGAGGGTCGGCCGCAAAGGCAAAGGCTGGGAGACGCGCCGCTTCCGCAAAGCGCAGGCGCCGCTGGGACCGGGCGCGTTTGTTTTCCTAATGCCTGGATTTGGGGAGCTGTTAGTTTTTGGAGAGGCTGGGACGCAATTCCGCTTTTTCCTCGCGCGTGGCTGCCGCCATTCACTGCGTTTCCGTGACTCTTCCCTGGATGCGAACCCTGAGGCGGAAGAAGAGGAAAAACTAACAGCTTCCCAAAACAAGGCACTGGGAAAACGCGTCCCGGCTCCGTCGCCCTCGTCTCAAAGGAGCTGGCTTTCTTTTTATCCGCTTCCCATTCTACAAGTTTCCTTTGCGCTTCCTTCCCGGACTTTCTTTAGGAATGGCTCCAGCCTCTTAGGTCGCAGCATGGTGCCAAAGAGCAATTCCTGAATCGGCCACGGGGGGGAACCAGAGAGCGCCTCCCTGTATTTTCCAACGGCAGAATTAATAGTAACTTGTTAGCTACGAAACTTATTTATTTGTTTTGTTTTTATGCAGCCTTTCTCCCAGAAAGGGGCCCAAGCGAGTCACAAGTTAAAAACACTAAAAACTTTAAATCCATGAGGTACCTTTCTGGAAGGCAGTAAAAATAACAGAGACTCGTTGGGCCATCAGAGTCATGAACCAAACAACTAGTTCCTTTTGAAGAGCACCTGTTCAGCCCTCAGCGCAGGTGAGGATGTGGCTCCGGAGGGGTCCCGGAGGGAGGGAGGGAGGGAAGGAGCACTGCAGCCCACACTCCATGCCTGGGATCATGGGTCGAAGCAGGGCTGGCACATGAGCCTCC